TCGCTCACCCACCCCTGCCTCAAATTGGCGAGGAGGGTGACATATATATATTGAATCTGTAATTCCCCCCCCCCCCCGAGTCCCCTTCTACCTGGACCGATGGCATCTGTGCGAATTTCCATCACTTTCTCACGGTCCGTGTAGTCCCTGTAGGTCTGGGTGCGAGTCTCAACGCAGAGGTGGCCGGCTTTCCGGATAGTCACGAAGCCCTTTCGGAGGGTGAGGGCAATAGCGGCGCCTGGGGGGGGGAGGAGGAAAATATTTGGGGGAGGGGTGAGGTTTCATTCATCCTTCCTAAGAGAAGCCACAGATCCTGGTCATTAGCCTGGTTTTTCTTCAATCCTTCCTAGAGTCATCACGAGATGGATGAGAAGACCTCAGAGGTCATCTAGGCCAACCTCCGAATCCAGGGAACTTCCCCCATTTGAAAGCCTCTAGGGAGAGTGGGCCCATTGCTTAATGCAGGGCCCCCCAATCTTGGCCACTTTAAGGCTTGTGGGCTTCAACTCCCAGAATTCCCCAGCCAGCACAGCAAGTTTGGAGACCTCTGGCTTAATGGTTGATGGCCAGTGTTTTTCTGGCTGCTTTTATCCTGGCCATGACAACCCCATAAGGAGGAGTGAGCGGGTCACTGGCCAGGGAGTGTGCTGGCTGGAGAGGGAGTCCATGTCTCCCCCATAGAGAAGAATCTTTGTAGCTTAGGGCTGAAATGAGGGAGGGGTGCTTGGTGCTCTCTGAGCTTGGTTGTTTTCTTGCAAACGTTTCATGACCCAACTAGGTAACATCATCAGTGCTAGAAGGGGTAGGTTTTGCTCTCAGTTTATATCTCCCCTCTCGCCCTGAGCTGAGGACTTGGGTGAGGGGAGCGAAAGAGAAGCGAGAGAGACGTACCCAGAATGAACCCCATGGCATCAATGCCAACCACTTGGTCGATGGCATCGTCCCGAAACGGTCGCACCAAATCTTCCACGCAGTCCTGCAAGGCCTGTGGGGGGGCGGGAGAAGAGAAGGGGGCAGCTATGTGGGGGGCACGGCTCCCCCAGACCCACAGAAAAACCACCCAGAGCAGGGTCTCATGCGCCTCTAAGGACGGATCCCCTTATTTACCAAGGAGCCGAGTTTCTGCTATTGTTATTCAGGCCAGCTTTCGACATTTAAAGCGGGGGTCTCCCACCTTGGCCCCTTGAAGACTTGGGGACTTCGACTCCCAGAATTCCCCAGCCAGCTTGGTTGGCTGAGGAATTCTGGGAGTTGAAGTCCCCAAGTCTTCAAGGGGCCAAGGTGGGAAACTCCTGTTTTAAAGCATCCCTCGGACAAACTGCAAGGAAAATATAAACCCTGAAAGAGAGTTAAGCCCATCATAGTAACAAGGATGCCACACCCTAACCCTCCCTGCTACAAGGATGGCGTAAAGGGACAATCCGAACACGCTACCCAGTGAAATATTCTGAAGAGGATGGTCGATGCCAGAGGCCTCCTGGTGGGATAATAGGTTGACTACATTCCCTATCATCCCCACTCAGCCCAGCCTTATGGATCGTAGGAGAGACTGGAAACCTTGAAGAAGAACCGTTGCAGGAATCGGGGGTGTCTGGTTTAGTGAAGAGAAGGACTAAGGGGAGACACGAGAGCATCTTCCGATATTTGAGTGTGAATACTACTTTATAATGCCCTGGTAAGGCCACACCTAGAGTCCTGCATCCAATTTTGGTCACCACACTATAAAAAAAGATGTTGAGACTCTAGAAAAAGTGCAGAGAAGAGCAACCAGGAGGATTAGGGGACTGCAGGCTAAAAACATACGATGGACGGTTGCAGGAACTGGGCCTGGCTAGTCTAGTGTAGTCTCTCTCTCTCTCTCTCTCTCTCTCTCTCTATCTATCATCTCTCTAGCTGTATCATCTATTTATCTATCTCTTTCTCTATCTCTTATCTATCATCATATCTATCTATCTATCTATCTATCATCTATCTATCTATCTATCTATCTATCTATCTATCTATCTATCATTTATCTATCTATCTATCTATCTATCTATCTATCTATCTATCTATCTATCTATCTATCTATCTCTATCTCTCTATCTCTCCATTTCTATCTCTATCTCTACCTATTTCTCTCTCTCTTTCTCTCTCTCTCTCTCTCTCTCTCTCTCTAACGAACCTCTCTCTCTCTCTCTCTCATGCCTCTATATTCTCCCCCTTCCCCCCCAGAGGCCCTGCCCTCCACCTTTCCCAATCTCTTCCCCCCTCCTCTGCTTTGTGGGTGGGCCCTCTGCCTCTGCCTGGCTGGGGGTGGGGAGAGGACGAGCTGCCCCCCCCCGACCTCACCGGGGGTCTCCCTCTTCCGTCCAGACGAGAACGTGAGGGAATTTTTCTTCCGTCTGGCCGCGCTCACCTTCGAAGGCAGCGTGCTGGCGGAGCTGGAGAAGAGCCACGCACGCCGGATTGGGGACGTTGTGCGTAAGTAGCCCTCCCCTCCCGGCTGGGGGAGACCGGAGGGTCCCGGGTTGGGGGGCTATAACAGACGGTGGGCTAAAAGAATTGAAATGGCAGCTGGGATGGTGCGATGGACGTTTCAGGCCTGTTT